TAGAGTAAAGGGTGGTAGGCACCTAGGGTGCAGGCTGCATCACTGAAGCGCTGGTAGTAGTGGCACAGCTCGGTTTTCCGTCGTGAAGGCAGGAACTCGTACACATGTACCACTTCACACAGGGACATCATTAAAACTGTGCCTACGGAGATAGAAGGACAAAATATAGTTCGTTTTTTTTTAACCATTTGTGGTTAGATTTTCCTCAGTATAACTTACCCAACAAGCCTGATGAGGGTGGGTTTTTTTGTATGGTCTCCACCATATTGTCTTGTATTCGCTGCCACAGCTGCCATTCCATTCGGGGGTGCAGAATATAAAATGGCTGTTGAGGGTGTAAGCGGCGATATCGCTGATACGGTTTAAATATTGGGTAATCTGTCTTGTTGAACCACTGAAAGTAAAAATATAAGGAGGAATACATAACCGGAATTAAATTGAATTGATGAAATCTGGAATGTTTACTAAACCTCAGTTATTGTGTATATAATAATAAATTTTTAAAACTGCATATTTTTAGATAGTTTCACATTTCAAAATTTTATTTTAGGGTCAACATGAAAATTAAATTATAGTTATTGTATATTACAACTAGGGTTATCATTTAACTAAAACTAAAAACATTTTCATTACAATACTATAAATGTTAACTGAAATAAAATAAAATATAAAAACGTATTTTATTTCAGCTACTTAACAAGGCAACATTTCAAATTTTCATTTATTTTAACCTGATGTTGTAAAATAACTAAAACTTAAAGGGATAGTTCACCCAAAAATGAAAATTCTGTCATTAATTACTCACCCTCCTGTCGTTACAAAACCATAAGACCTTCGTTCATCTTCGGAACACAAATTAAGATATTTTTGATGAAATCCGAGAGCTTTCTGATCCTCCATAGACAGCAAGGGAACTACCAAATTCAAGAAAGAAAACAAAAATAACAACTTCATTCAACCATTTCTTCTGTTCCAGTCAGTCTCCGCCACCATTCATGACAGTACCACAACACATTCGTGTGCATTCCTCTGCTTTTAAACAAGACTCACCGCATGTGTGTTCTACATTAGAACGCTGGCTCCAGCGTCAGCAGCACCACACGTGCACGTTGTGGTTCTCTAGTGAATGGTGGCGGAGACTGACCCGGAAGACAAGAAATTGTTGAATGAAGTCATTATTTTTGTTTTCTTTGTGCACAAAAAGTATAATTTGTTGAATTAAGTCATTATTTTTGTTTTCTTTGTGCACAAAAAGTATTCTCGTAGTTTCATAAAATTACGGTTGAACCACTGATGTTACATGGACTATTTTAACGATGGCCTTACTACGTTTCTGGGCCTTGGAACATGGTAGTTTCCTTGCTGTCAGAATGGAGGGCCAGAAAGCTCTCGGATTTCATCAAAAATATCTTAAT